TGTTTGCTATGCCTCACTGAATTCTTTCTGTCCAAAACCCAGGCACTCAAAGGTCCACTTGAGGATGATTGTAAAAACTTGTGTTTTGAATAAGTAAATTAAGAACATTTAAAACCCTGAGCAGAATTAAAATGTCATCAAATCCTTCCAATGTTCTCCTCCCTCAAGGCTGTCCCGGAATCTTGCATATCTGTTTTCCCTTCCCTCACGTTCACTGACTTGTTCACATTTACCAACTCTAAGCCAAGAGATCTTACTTGCTTCTTCACTTCAGTCTAATACTTTTAATTGCCAAAACCCTACTGGGAGAGACACCTTTTTTTTTTTTTTTTTAAAGATTTTATTTATTTATTTGACAGAGAGAGACATAGTGAGAGCAGGAACACAAGCAGGGGGAGTGGGAGAGGGAGAAGCAGGCTTCCCACCAAGCAGGGAGCCCAATGCGGGGCTTGATCCCAGGACCCTGGGATCATGACCTGAGCCGAAGGCAGATGCTTAACGACTGAGCCAGCCAAGCGCCCTGGGAGAGACACTCCTGAAAAATAGAGCAGACAGTACTTAAGGGATCATTAACAACTAGACACCTGCTACACTCTCATTGGAGTTACATCAACACCAATAATTGCCTTTAACAATTAGAGATCCAAGGCATTAAGGTTTTCCTCCAATGTGCTGTTGATAGTTGTGGTAGAACCTGACAGAATTCATTTCCTATAACAAAGATAAGTTTCAATTTTTGATCGGCTTTTGTTTTCTTGAATGGTTTTGGAGAGTCGTTTTTGATGAAGGGCTCTGAGCTGAACTGCCACTTTCCTTTTTGTCTTGTTCACAAGGAGTCTTGGAACAGTCTTGGAACCTGGCCCATATGATAGAAAGGACTTTTGATTTCAGAACTCAGAATGTTTTTACTTATTTTTGTTCAGTGACAAATGCAGACAGACCCTCACAACTCCACCCAGCATGCTTAGCATTCACCTGTAGGTCAACAAAACCAGGCAGCCAGTGTTCAAAGTGAAGGGCATTTAATAAATCCAGGCAAAGGAGATTGTGTATAGGACTCATTCTTAGTGAACATTCGCGTTCATCTTCTCAAAAGAATGTCTTCTTTGTGCTTTTGAATAGAGAATGACTTGGGGGAACATCAAAATTCAGGGGAAATATTCAGATTTTGGAAAAAAAATAAATTTTACTGGCAAGTCTCATTTTTTTAAGGCAGCTGTGTAACCTTTAATTCACATGAACACCCACATATCTTTTGAAACCTGCTTTCTCACCACTCTGACAGAATTTTATCTCTTCACTGTTAAGATTTCTCTAGAGAGTGCAGTACTGCATCATTTTGACAAACCTGAATGTGAAGAGATGAATGCTCTTCATCTCTGAAACACTTCAGGGTAAGTTGCTTTAACCAGTTTCCTGTTTTCAGAGGCTATTTTTCTGTCATCCCTTCAGATCTATCAAAGTTCACTTAATTCTTTTAACAGCCATATTTTATAAAAAGTGGAATTCTTTTCACACTAGTACTCATGGCTCTGAGATCTGGAGCCATTCTGACTACCACTATTATCTCGAGGGCCATACGCCCTGAGACATAGGAAGGAGACCAGTGTGTGCAAAGGAACCACCCCACCCATGCTCAGCCTGAGAACTGCTACTCACCCTGCTTTCTTCTTGCTTTCTGGAAATCCCCCTTGCCTGAGGTGCACGGATTTCCAGCAGGGCAGGATAGAACATTTCTATGTTACAGTCAGCATTCAAAATATTTTGCTGAGGGGACATGGGTGGATGTGGAGAAAACCCAAAATATTAATTGAAAACCAATTACTCCTAGCAGCTGAAAGCTCCCTTTGGCAGTTTGAGAACAGCTTTTCAAATAATAGTATAGAAAATGTATCATTCAGAAAATTGATGTGCTAAAGTAGAGAAATGGCAAATGAAATACAGTATTCTCAAAGACTAGATCAGGGGTTGATACACTACAGTCTGTGTACCAAAGACGGCCCCTTGCCTGTTTTTGAGTGGCTTGTGAGCTACAAATGCTTTCTCCAGTTTTAAAGAGTTGACAAAAATCAAAAGAACAATAACATTTCTATGACACTTGAAAATGATATGAAATGCAAATTTCAATGTTTATAATAAAGTTTTATTGGAACACAGTTACATCCATCTGTTGATATATTGTTTTTGACTTCTTTCGTGCTGTAGGAGAGTTGAACACTTGCTGGGTCAGTACTTGTGATGGAGACTGGACGGCCTTCACAGCCTAAAATATTTACTACCTACCTTTGACAGAGTGTGCTGACCACCAGGCTAGGTTATCGTATGACAGTTAAACTGACGCCATTTAAAAATATTTAATTATAAGAGAAATGTTTGTGGTAAAATATTTAGTAAAACAATCATGACAAACTGTATATATGAGACAGTCCCAAATAGTTTATTTTCCTTGCATAATTTTTGCCTCTTCCCCCCGGTGGAAATGTCAATGCCAAGAAGATAAATAGAAATTGGCATTTATTTATTAATTTATTTAGGTTCAGTTTCTAGAATAATGCTTGATGCGTAGTAGATGCTCCATAAACAAATGAAGGCAGTCAAAGACTGTGTCATTGCATCATGTCTCTATGTAATAATAGTTATAGCAGAAGCTTTCTGGGATGTGCATATATGTTAGGCATCAGGTTGAGGACTGCAAATGCAAGAGCCCATTTAATCCTAAAAGCCAGTTTGGGAAGGTACATTCTCACCCCATTTTACAGAGGATGAAAGCAAGGCTTAGAGAGGTTGCTTAACTTGTCTAACATTACAAAGCTAAGAGGTAATGTGACCAGAATTCAAAAGATCTGTTGGATTCCAGAGCCTAAGCTCTCACCAGAAGCTCTACTTCTTAAATTTCTAAAAACAATGTACATTTTGAGGTGAGAAAGAAAGGGATGGGAAAATACCAGAAGTCAGTATATAAATCACAGAACCAATTACTAAGCTCCTATCCTGAGCTTATAGATGATTTTTGTTTTCTTAGCTTTACATGTTACTGTTTTTCCACATTGCCCAAAATGAGTAGATTTGCTTTTAATTGCTTTAAAATAAGAAACAAATGTTTTAAAGGAAAGGAAAAACAGCCCAGAAGGTTAACTGTTTCAATTGTTTATGTAGATCATTTCCCTGTTTTTCTGCGGGCCTCATGTGAATTGCTGAGGAAACGGCCCGCCTGTCTGTCTCCTGTATTGATTTGTGTTGTTGAGGTTCAGGATTAGGTTTCAACTCCCTTTGAATACTTCCTAGCCCTGAGAATCTCAAGTGCTGTCTGTGTATAACTTCAGTCCAGAGACACCGATGGGTAGAAATCCTTGGTGTTTATCTTTTGAAGTCTGAAGTACGCATGTCTTTGAAAGCGATGTTGTGTCTTCCGCTCATATTTGGTTACATTGGTCTCTACATGTGTCCCGCTCATGATGGACTGCTTTTACCTGGACTTTACTATTATTATTTGTTAAACTGGCGTCGTATTTGGAGTCCACTCATTTAAAATTATATTTATGCAATAAATATAATTTATATTTATCTTATACCTAAGGAGACAATTAGGTCCGAGCAGCCCCAAAACCATTTAGGAAAGTCAAAGGAAAGAAAAAGGGGAGATGTCTTTTGGATCTGTGTTCTTTCTTTATTTTTTTTCTTGATTGTGAGTTGGTGACTGTGGCATACTTCCCCAAATCCAAAGGACTTCTTGCAAACCCAGGCTGAAATTGCAAGGCAAAAAGGAGGAAGATTTTTCTTTTGAATAAAACTGGAATGTAGGTGATCTGAATGACCAAGAGAGCACTACTAAAATTATTGAGGTCACAGTAACAGCAAATTGAGGAGAGGTTAGAGTAGACGACTGTTTCCTGTAGTAAAGACTAGGCAGAGATAAGAGCTCTACAAAAGGCAAACAAGCAAGATGGTAAAAATAAATGCCTTTATCCAAAAGGAATACAGTCATAGATCGAGAGCCTCTCAGGTTATTTTAAAGGGTTTTTAAAAATTCCTCTGATGTGTCTTAGACATTCCAGTCATAATTTCAGAGGCTTCCATTGTCCAGGCCTGTTAAGAATGAGTCTAGTGGGCTTTTCCAGATCTTTGTGACTTTTTTTTTCCCCCAAGAGCATCATTCTGATTTTTAACTTACAAGCAAAGCCACTTAACATCATCTCTCAGTGACTTTACTTGTCAGAAATGGGGGCTGGAAAGTGATGTCATTGGTTTTAAGCTTGAAGTATCATATAATGGACCTTCGTGGTCTTCCCTGTTTATAACTTCACTTGGGCTCATCATTCTTCATACAGTCTAGCAGTGGCATTTCTAAACTATTAAGAGTGAGACAAAAACAATTAGAATGACAGATTTTTTTTTTTTTAATATCATCTATGTGCTTGCAGTTGAAGAAATGCATTTGCTTAAATGCACTTTGTGAGGTTATGTGTGAAAAAATGATCCGTTACCAAGAGCGTTACTGTTTCCTTCAGAGAAGGAAAAAAGTTTCCATCTTGCTTCTTTTTTCTTTCTTTGGAGATTATAGTAGCTGGTGTGAGCCATACAATTTCACTTTTAAATTTGCGACTTCCAAAAAATTCTTTTTCCATGGCCTCAGAAAATCAGACAGTTGTTATTACAAAGAGAGAGCAGCCCCTCTCAGACATTGAATAGACAATTATAAATGACTGGATTCTTTCCCTTTTTGTGGTGGCTGCTTTTAGATGTGGAATAAAACCACATTAACCAGAACACTGTTATTGGTGATTAGTGGCTTATTCCCGCGCCACATCAATAAAAGGTCTTGTCTCAAAAATCTTTCCTTTCATTGTCTAACAGGGACACTGGAATATCATCTAATCAAACTTTTTTGGTAGGTGAGGGGGTGAAGCTGTGAGGGACTGCCTAAAGGCTCATACTGAGTCATGCTAAACATGCTAAAGCGAGTTTGTTTTTTTTTTTTTTTCTTTTTTTGGATTCTGTAGATGGCCGCCCATGTCCTCTCATTCTCTGGGACTCATCTTTATCTCCAACGAGTAATGAGACCCACTCTTCTGTTAAGCTCACCTGGGGAACTTACCAACAGTCGTTGAAACAGAAGTGCTGGCAGAATGGTCGAGTACCCAAGCCTGAATGGGGTTGTACTGAAATACATCACCACGAGTGGTCCAAGCTAGCACTCTTTGATTTTTTGTTACAGGTAAGTTTATCAAGTCAAGTAAGGGGTTATCTAAGGCTGACACTGAGTTACGTAAGTCTAACGCTAAGGGATTTTCTACACCTTGAATTTTCACGAAGCCAGAGTTTAAGTTCTATAATGCTATATTTGGCAAGTATAATACTACACTGCAAAATTTTATATTCTTTTGGGAAGTATTCAGAAATGTCCCTCAGCTCTTATATGAGTTTCTGAAGGAGTAATTCTTCAGTATTTTGGCCCTGCCATAGTCATACTCATCGTACATCCAACTTACTGAGGAAACCCATCAACAACTCTTCAAGGTTCATGGTCTTCCCTCATTTGTGAGGTGAGTGAACTGATGTTTCATGAGGTGAAGGAACTCACCCACATTCTGACAACTACTAAAAGCTGGAGTTGGGGTTCCCTGGGATCTGTTGATGGTAAAAATTTGTCTTCTTTTCACACTGTATTTCCATCATTCCACATTATGTTTCAATGGTCACTCGGTTATATAGTTTACAGCCAACCATTCTCTTGTTTTCTTTCTAGTAATTTTTTTGCAAATATTTCATTAAGATCAGGCATTGGAGAATAATAGAATAATAAATATTGACCATCTACATAAGTGAGTGACACAGAATGTCACAGGTGTCTTATAACTCTTATCTCCTTTTGATAAAGATCTTATGACTCTCTTCATCCCCTCATTCTGATTACTGCTTTTCCTTTCCTCCATTTTAGAAAAACCTGTAGGCTGCTATTGTTGCATTGCTAATTAATATTTTGTGGAAATTTAGGACTGTCTTAGGACATTTGTAAAACATTCTCCTTTTGTTAATTCCTGTGTGTGTGTGTGTGTGTGTGTGTGTGTGTGTGACATTTTGGGAAGGCACTAGAGAGGGATAAACATGTAAGAAGGAAACCAGAGTCACAGAATTTCAAGGGATTAGGAACTTTCAAGAAGAGGATGATTTATGGTGTCAGTGTTGCAAAACCACCAGTGAGAACTGAGCTGGAGAGCAGGCCAGCAGAACTGGCAAGGAGGCAGTCAGAAGTCACCAAAAACTGTTGTAGAGTTCAGCTATGAGGCTCAGACTGGTCTTAAGCATTGTATATATATTATCTCATTTTTCCATTTAATTAACATACTAACTCTGTGAGATAGGCATCTTCTCTCCATTTTATGGGTTGGCAAAAGGGATACTGAAGCATAAAGAGGTTATTATCAAGAACTGTGGAAAATCTGAGATCTTACCTTTCTCACAAGCTAAGAAATTAGCCAGCCACATGTTCATAGATGCTAGCAGAGGACAAAACATTCCTGGGTCAGAGACAGCAGATTACTTCATTACTCGTGGTATAGCAAGTGGCATGAGCTTCATGTTCCTTTGCCCCTCATGTCCCATTGGGATGATAGAGAGTAGCCCTGGTGAATGCTGAATGTAGGGTTTTGTGTCACTACAGAGGAACTCTAAGCTTAGGAAACCCCCAATCTTATAAGAGGTTGCTAGCAAACCTGTCCAACATTGCCCCAGAAGGAGAAATTATCTTTATTATCTTGGTGAAGAGATAAATCAAATCTGCTGTTCACATCAGTGGGAAACCCTCTTTGTATTTCCCAAGGTTGTTTGCTATACTAATGTCCTTGAAGAGACAGTACAGAGCAAAACTTCATCTAAGATGTGCAGAAATGCCATGGAGAATTGTTTCTCACAGTTACCTAACTTGTTTGGTATTACAGAGCTAGTAAGTTCCCAAATAGAGAATTTGGCAGGTTTGGCTGACACTAGATTCTTTATTTTTAACCATTATTGTATGGCAACTACCAGGGTATCCTTAGGTTAATGAAGGGAGTTGGTGTGATAAAATGTATTAGCAATAAAGTGAAGAATGAGTGAAGATCTCTAGGGCTAAGTCGGTAAAGGTACTTACTATGAGGCCAGGTATTTGGGGAGTAGTCAGTATAGAGGTTGAAGTTCCTGAGGGTGATGACTAGAGGCAGGAGGGAGAGGAGATCCATGAATGTGACAGTGAAGTCTATGAGAAAGGGAATGACCTTGAGGTTTGTAGCTGAAGAACATAAGAACTAACCTACACTGAAAAGGGCAAACCCTTTTAGAAGTTGTCTCTAATGACATTTGTTTTAATTCTGGAAACTTCAACTAAATCTCCACCTACCTTCTGTCTTTGTCATTCTCCTTTCTATTGAGGAAAACTACAACTATCATTCAATCAGTGATGATGTGTTTATGCAACATCTACTGTGCATGATACTGAAGAAAACTGACACAGAGGTAGCAAAGTAGGAAAGGCGATTATCCCCCGCTGCCCTACCCCAAGTTTGGTTTTTTAAAAAATCACTTAGGAAAGTATAGTATGAAACAAAAATAGATACATGTAAGTAGGGCTGGATGAGACAATAAAAAAGTTCTTACCGGTATGAGGTTAAAAAAGGGAGAGGGCTTTGCCATAAAATAGTAAAGGAGGAAGAGTTTGAGTAAGATTGCAGGCTGTAAATGATAAAGAGGGTAGGCACAGATGTGAGGAAGGACATGGGGTTGGCAAGGTTCATATGATATTTAGGGCATCCCAAATATACCATTGGTCTGAAACAGAGTCACTTAGGGGAGTAGTGATGCTCCCTGCCTATAAGAGATATGACAGATCATGGAGGAAGAGAGCTTTTTTTCACAAGAGGTATGTTCACATTGTAACTCTTTCTGTTCATTACCTTGACTGAGGAGGAATGAATTCCAACTGAGCCACAGTCTCCGGAGTGCATCAGCAGCTTTTATCATTGTGTCCATTGTCTGTGGTCTCGAGGATGAATGTAGACACATCACTATTATAAGTTTTCAAAGAAGACAAATATTTTAAGTCCTTAAACTAATACTATTAGTAATCTAACAGTTATATAACACTTGCTATGTGCTTGGCACTGTTCTAAGCACTCTGTACTGAGCACTAATATATTAACTTATTTAATCCTCATAACAGTCTTATGAAGTAGATCTTATCATTATTCATATTTTAGAAATGAGGAAATCAAGGCAAAGAGAAATTAATTAAGTTGGCTAGAGTCATATAGCTGGTATCCAATAGAATCTGGAGCCCAACTGAGGAGTTCTGGCTTAAAAGACAAACTTCTAAGCGATGCTTCCTCCTATTCATTGTGTAGGGCAATGGCACCATCATCTTCCAATTTCCCAAGTCAAAAACTTGGGAGTCATTTATATGCCTCGTGATACTTACCCTCACATCCATACAGTGACCAAATCCTTGATATCTCCCCAAGCCATCTTCTTTTAGGTATGGCTTGTGCTCCTAGCTTAGTTCAGGCTTTGTCATTTATTACCTGGATGACTTCCTCCAGTCCACTCAAACTGTGTAAGCCAAGATCACCTTTGGCTTGAGATATTGGGCATCAGGCTGCTGCTAACTCTGAGGGAACTGCTTCTATTGTAGGTCAGTTTTAGTTGTAATCTACCCTCTTATTCCTTCTGCCTATGGGAGATTATGGGGGTGTCTTTCACATTCTTGATAATCCATGAAGATGTGATCTCTGCAGGACTTTACTAGAACCTGTCCAAGTTATGACACCAATATTGGAGTTCCCAATTTTGGCTCTGGCTAAAGCACTGAATCTAAGTCAGAAAATTCGATTGTTAAGAGTTACTTTGGGTTGGTATCTATATATCAAATTATATATGTGAGGATGGCATCTGTGAGAATAGACTTACATTTTTTCATTAATCCAACATTTACTTGCTTCCCATAGCGCAACAGACAAAAAGCTAATTTCCAGTAGACGCTGCAGCGTTTTACAATTTTACCAGTAAGGTAGGAGAATGAGTGTTTTCCTCTTTCTTGCCGACCTTGAGAGGTGGAAAACTGATTAATATTTTTACTAATTTTATGGAGGGTAGCAAGGTGTTGTTTATACTTCCGGTTTTTTCATTATGAGTGATATTGAGGATATCATATTTTCAAATACTCATTATTTATAGTTCATTTTTTGTGAGTTGCCTATTCATATCATTCCCCTTTTTTATTGCATTCCATAGCTTTTCCTTATTGATTTATAAAAACATTTTGTATATCTTGAAAATTAGCCATTATCAATCCTATATATCTCAAATAATTTTTTTACTTTGTTGTTTTTCATTTGACTTTGCTCACAGTAGATATTACTCCAGAGAAATTTTACATTTTTTATAAGATTGTATCTTAGTTGACCTTTTTACTTCCTGTATTTAGCATCATACAATGTTGATAGAGAGATGTTTATTAAAAATATTTGCTGAACAAATGAATGAATAAATGAACATATGTAGGCCATTTTTCATGAGTACCGTAATGTTATCTTTTATACAATAATCCTTCTCATCAATTACACTGAGATGTTTACTTTAAAGTCAAATATATGCCTTATTTAAATGGTGATTGGGAATGTGTTGGGAGTGTATTGGGTGGAGTTTGTTAACAATCTTAGAAAAGTTCTGCCTGAAGTAAACTAAAATCACTTGTTCTATGATGCTACAACAAGGCAAGAGAATACAGAACCCAGTTGTTAATTTTCTGTACACAACATTCTTTTTGTTTTACCCAATTAACAAATCTACATTCATAAAGGCTATGCCATTTTACTGGGTCTGTAAAATGTGATAGAGGCACAAATAACCTTTTATTCTTGAGGCGTGGGGGTATGAACTGCAGAGACAAAAAGTCACCTCCGTTAGGATGCCAAAGAATAGTATTCTAGAGAGAATTTGAGTTTCTAAGACTTGGAAAATTTCTATCAAAAGGTCATATAAAATAACCAGAAAAGATTTAGGATGTATAAAACTTGCTTTTTGAGCTCATAGTCTGTATAATGGTTAGGAACCGGGCTTCTGGAACCAGCCTGCTAAATTTCAATCCAAATTACCAATACTGATTTTTTAACATTGAGAAGTTACTTAACCTCTCTCTACCTTGGTTCCCTCAGGAGTAATAATATTGTTTATAGAGAGGGCTAT